CTTACAAAGAGTAACAAAAAAGAAGCGTATAGTAGTAATTTGCTTATTTATGAATAAAACATAAAGTGCTGATAAAATATCAAAAATACCAATACATTAATTATTAATTAAAACTATTATAAGTAGTAGGTCAATCGAAAATCAGTTTGTACTACACAGGTACTGCAGTTTTTTTTTATTTCTTGTAACTATGTACACACATCACTACTCTTTGTTCGCTAAATTATCACAACACTGAAAGCTTTAGCACGTTTAATTGAACTATTGGAAACTTCGTGATATAAATATGTATTTTTTTTTCTAACTATCCCACAGATGAGAACGAAAACTCCGCTAACAATAGGTAAGTAAACTTTCAATTAAATTTTCTTTTTTTTAATGCTTACTATTTACAATGCCGTTTTGCTGCCACCATTCTTTAACACGATCTTTACGGACTTACTTTCTTTGTAAACAAAGGCATTGTTTAGATTTCTACGTATAAACGTATTTGATGGAGAAATATTATATTAAAAGAGCATGAAGTGGCAATAAATGCAATCTAATTACAATTGTACAGTAGTGTATACAAACACACTATACTTACTTAAGAATTTAACAGTTTGTTTTATATTGGGCATGTATTCTGATGCTTTGAGCAATCATTGTTAATAGTCAAAGCCGTAACACTATTATACTAAAAATGAAGTGTTCTCTATGTAAATGCTAACGGCAAAAACCAAGAAAGAAGAAAAAAATTAAATGCTGGCTCTGTAAAAGAAAAATACTTCATTTATTTCTGTTAAAAATAGCTCAAAATCAAAATCATGGCCATGGCAATCATGGAGCAAAAATGATTAGTTATTCTTTATTTTTTTCGATCCTCTAAGTTAACAATAACATACGTAATAATGTAATTATATAGTTTATTTACTTCTATTATATTGTTTAACGGACGTGAAGTAACGCCTCACCATGGAAAGAATGCCAAGCTTCCTTTCTTCCAGGTTGCATTTTTGGCCATGGATGTTATGTATATGCCGTTCAAATTGGACGACAGGTCCATTCCAAGTAGCTGGAAACGGTTGGCTACCGGTATGAATATATCACGAAATATGGGAGTCAAGTCAAAGAGACTACGTTTTGTGACTACAAGTAGAAACTATCACCACCATAATACCTATATTTTGCTCCATATTTACCTAGACTAAAACGTACTTAGTAGCAGTAGAGCTTCTTGTGAAAGAGTTCATGCAGGGTAGTACTGCCCCCTTAGCTATTTCTGCCGCCAAGCAGTAATGGCAGCATAACTGTGTTCCGGTTTTGGAGGGTAAGGGTGCTGGTGAAATTACAGGCACATGGGACTTGTCAACTTATGTCTCAGTGTGACGGGCGCAGTAGCAGTGCTCCACAAGATCTTTTCAATTTAAACCTCTGAGTGGCACTGCAACTGCTATATCTATAGGCGTGTAGCTTACCATCAGTCGCACTAACAAGTGTTCGTCCCGTCACATTAAAAAAAAGGTACAAGTCCCTTTACCGAGCAGACGTTTCCCTAAGTTTGCTTTCTATTTCGACTTGCAGCAATTACTTGTAATTTTTTTTCTAGTTGGTGGAGAAATATATTTCTAAGATGTCACCAATCAGACCCAACGCCGTCCTGGCAACCGTCTTGGTGGACCAAAGTCTTTCCGTTTCCAATATTTCCGACATATAGACAATCGGCACAACGACTATGCATCATATTGTTCTGTAAGTAGATAGCTGATATATAAAAATCGCCTTTTTAACACAAGCCCTACTAGTACCGAACGTCAAACGCTAACACGTCATGGTTTGACTTACTGCCATTCAAATAGATGGTCGTGGGCTCGAATCCTGGCTTGCACCTCTGAGTGTCTCGGTATTAATGTGCGAAATTTAATTTGAAAGCTTTTCGGAGAAGTAAAACACCGTGAAGAAACTTGCGCACATATAGATACTTGTGTTCCCACACGTGTGAACCCATGGGAACTAAAACCCAGAATGGGAGGACCCATTGTGAGCGAATCCTTTGCCCACCAACGGGGCTCTATACATATAATCTAACTATTGACGTCATACAATTTTACATATCTACTATCTATCTACTTTCGATTAAAGATAAAGCTTGGGCAACATTAAGCTTGATTTTGACCTGTTACTTATTAAAATTGTTTTATTTATAAATTTACCTCATTACCATCAATCCATTAGACGTCCCGCTGCTGGGTATAAATCTCCTCTAAAGTTCTCTTTAGAGGAGATTTAAGTATAGTCTGCCACCCTGGCCCAGGTGATGATGTTTTTGTCACCGTTTTAGCGACAGGTTGTTACTATATTCACAAATGTACGTAACTTATAAATCTATACCTCCAATGATCACTACGCCAACTTAATTTTTTGGTTATTTTGTTATTTTTGTAAACAACTATATTTATTTACTAATATTATGCTCCCCGAATTTTATGAAAAGAAAATTAAAGAAACTAACTAAAATAAAAACAGAAAAAGAAAATTCAGGTAAGGTCCAAAAATTAAGTTGAAGGTATCGAAATTAAAGTCTAAAGTACAATAGTCATCGCAGGGATTTCAACCGTCGACCTCTCAGCTGAGTAGCAAACGTTCGCCCACAAGCATTGACTTACAAATAAATGGACGACGGGTCTAATACACAAACCACGAAAAAAATGTCCCAAGTCAACGTATTTAAACGTAGTGACATGTGAAGGAATATGAAAAAGCTAAAACGTTGAATTTGAATTGTAATGTCATCGCAGTACTGTCTAATTTTGCTTGCTTCGCTGTCAGTCGAACAAACGAACACTAAAGCGTGAATGACGCTCTGTATACGATTTTAACGCCCTATAAGTTCGGACACTTTTTAGCGCAGACCCGACGTCCATATAATTGTAAGTCAATGCCCACAAGTCAATCCCACATATATGTACTTGTTGATATTTTCGAAATATTATAGAAAGTTCTTATTTTTGGCAACAGCAAATCGGGGCCCATAACATATTTCAGTTAGCACTATTAATACACAACATTACTTCGCTGATTCGGGAATCTTTCTTTTTTCAGTCCAGCTTGTAACTGGATCCCGTATACTTAACCTGTATAGATTTTTCAAGTCCGGAAAGGTCATGGTCGTACAATTATCCATGGAAACTTCAAAGATGTTATTTTTTTCTCTTCAGTTAATTTTTTACGTATAACTAAGTTTTTGGACATTTTCAGTTCTTCTCGCATGGGGTATCCTTTACGTGGAATTAGGAGAAGTGGTCGGTCTAAATGGAGAAATCCTCAGTATGACTTTACTAGTCATTGCTGCGTACTTATTGGGGTGGCTATTTAACAAAATAACCACACTTCCAGCGTTGATAGCCATGCTACTTACTGGAATACTTTTCCAAAACTTAAATCTCGTTCATATGACTGACGATTATAGAAAACTTAATCAGGATTTAAGGTCGGTAAAGACATGTACAGTCCCACCATTTAAACTAATATGTTACAGTTAATATAGTGTAACAAACTTAACAGTAACGAAAACCGAAAGCTATAAAAACTAACAGCTGTATATCCATTTGCACTACACTTAAACCAATGCTTAAATTGATAAGTCACTTTTAACACAATGTGTTACGTGCGTCTTTTGCATTGCATTGCAAGTATTGGTTTAAAAGGTACTTAAGATTAGTCCAAGTGGACATTAAAGTTTTAATTAAAATTTTATAAAATTTAATTGGAAAAGACAAAAACCGACGTCGCCTTAATTGACTAACTTTTATACTTATTCATTTTTATTTTATTCTTTGATTTAATCATCGATACATCGATAATATAAAGCATTCATGGAATAAGAAAATACCAGTTTAAAGATATAAGAAAAAAGTTTTCGCACACTAAATGAGCACTGTGTTAAGTATCGAAAGTAATATTTAATTAATCTTGTATACATAAGTTAGGGAGTTGTAGAAGTATAGGTAAAATAAATTCAAATATTCTTTTAGGAAAATAGCCCTAGTGATAATATTAATGCGAGCGGGGTTAGGACTAGACGAAAAAATTCTGAAGAAGCATTGGAACGCAGTTATTCAGCTGGGTCTGCTACCATGGCTCACTGAAGCCGTAGCTATTACGGTCATCTCCAGATATATCTTAAATCTACCTTGGATCTGGGGTAAGTAAATATATCACTGAGCCAGCGTTACAATAGCATTATAATTGATAATTGGATACTTTGACAAAAAAAAATAGCCGTTTGTTGGTGGTCATAGTAGCAGCATTTGACAATGTTTGTACTGGTGATCATGTTTAGTCAGCATTAACACCCTGTAGGCAAATAAGCTTAACTTAAATAATAAAGTACAATCTTGCTCAAAATATAAAACAAGTTTTATTTACTTACATACTGGAGGACATAGTCTCTGCCTAAATCTATGTCGTATATAATCCATGTTTTATGAAAAAGAATCCGACGCAATCTATTTGCGTAATTTGCTTGGTTTGTGCGATTTTTTAACCGACTTTAAAAAAGGAGGAGTATCTCAATCTGACTGTATCTTTTGTATATGTTACGCGATAACTGGCATTTGTGAACCGATTTTGGTGATTCTTTTTGTTGGAAAGAGGGTACCTCAGTATTACCCCATTCAAAAATAAAGAATATATTCCATCCCTAAGGGTGGGAAACTAGGGGATGAATCCGGTTTCGCACACTTTCCGGTAACCGATTTAAATAAAACTAGGCAAATAGATGTAATACCACGAACTTTTGAGGTCGGTTTTTTTTATAAACAAGTTACAATTATCTTTTATTATGTGGCTACCTTGAACGAGTGAGAAATTGTTTGAATTAACGGTTTCTATCACCTACTCAAATACAAAATATTGAAAAATTTGTCAACTTAAACGTAGTGTAACTGATCCTCTACATTTTTCGCTTCAAAATTTACAACAGTATAAATAAATAGAGCATTCTTTACTAATTGAAAAAAAAAAAATACATACTCGCTTTCACGCCTATGGGTGACTCCATACTTCATAAAGTACAATACTTACCTTGTTTAAGAATATTAGAGATATTATTTGAAGTATTATACTCCCAGTGCCCAGGTATTAGCATAATATACCACATTATGTACGAAACAGATTTACTTAGAAAATGACTACTAACAAACTCCCCAAGGTAAAGAAACGGATATTCGATTATTATTTTCTGAGGTCACAATAATAATAATTATGTTTACTTTACGAAATTATTAGAATATAAAAATGAAGTCCCTGACTTCTGAACTAGGTATCTTGGATTACAGGAGTCAATGTCTCTACTTGAACACTTGACAACGCTTAACCGCAGGTAACACCAGCTAGCTAAGCTTATCTCACGTAGTCGCGGCATGTTTTCATACTTCTGTTCACACTGTAAACTATACAAAGCGAGTTAACTGAACTACGGTGGACAAACACCTACCCAACGATCCCACTAAGCTAAACAAACTCTGTCCCACAACTGCCTTCCTTCACCTCGGACATGTCCACAGAGTTGTCATAGATGCTCGCGCGCAGCTGCATAGTGCACTTGCATTTATCATGAACCTCTAGTGCTACTGCTTCGAACGAAAGTCTAGCGTCGACTGGTAACACGTCTCTACGGCTTTGTATTTTCTTAGCTTAGCTCTCGTTATTGGTTGCATGCATGCATGTGAGCTAGGCTAACTCAGTTACCTTAGCTCGCATAGTTCATCACACGCAAGCTACACGAGCTAAGCTGACTCAAAATTTAAAACTGATTGTGATCTGCACCAAGTAACCTGGTTTCTATTGCAGGATTCCTTTTAGGTTCAATGATAGCATCAGTATCACCAGCTGTGGTCGTACCTTGTCTCTTTAAACTTCGAGAAGAAGGTTATGGCGTTGCGAAAGGAATACCCACGCTATTACTAGCCTCGGCAGCCATAGATGATTCAGTCAGTGTAGCTGTTTTCGCTATTATTCTTAATGCCCTTTTTTCTACTGGTGGTTCTGCTACTTTTAACATAACCAAGGTGTGTTCTGAAAGTACTTCTCTATTGATTTTCATTTATAAATTGTTTGGATTGTATATGATTGAAAACCGTAATAATTTTAGCTACTGATATCCTAAGTTTAGAATATTAAAACTTTTTTTTGTAATATAAGTGACGAGACGGACAAGTTCTGCGCCTGATGGTAAGCTACACGCCCGTCCATAACGGTTGCAGTGCCACTCAGAGCTTTAAATCGCAAAGATCTGAGGAGCACTGCCACTGTGCTTGTCACCCTGAGACATAAGTTGACTTCAAGTACCTGTAATTTCACGTGCACCCCTACCCTTCAAAACTGGAACACAGTAATGGTGACATTAATGCTTGGCGGCAGAAATCGGTAAGGTGGCAGTACTTCCCTGGACGAACTCTTTCACAAGGAGCTCTACTGCTACTGACCTACAACTACAATTATTGCGGGTTGATACCAGTTCTATGTAACTATTTTAAACTTTTGTTTGAAATGGAAATTGTGTTGTAAATGCCTATTGATTTGTATTTAGTCTTGTAGAGTAATGACACAAAAATTTTTAACCCACTTACTATTTTATAATTTTACTCATAATAAAAAAATATCAAGTGTTATTTCTCACTTCAGGGACCATTATCTATAATAGTTGGTGTAATCCTAGGAGGACTATGGGGTGCTATGACGTCAGTTATTCCAGAAAAAGGAGACCTGTATGTAGTGCCATTAAGGTTCTTAATTCTCTTTCTGGGCGGTCTATTTTCCTTGTTCCTTTCCAACATGATTGGTTGGAGTGGTGCTGGTAAGTCGATTTACGAACATTTTTTAGACAATAAAACTCTACACAGCGCAGAATATTATGCCAGATGTTAATTGCTGGTGTGTGGTCTTTGCTCTTTTGCTCAGGCTAAAATACTTAACTATGTATATTTAATTATAGTCTAGACGTGCCTTTGTTTGATATTTGCTTCTATCGATGATACAAGGTGAAGACCAAGTCAAGTTCGACACGTATGAATTAAAACCATATGCCGCTTACGATAAGAACTATCCAACGTCCAAAATGTCGAGCTTGTCCTCCTGATGGCTGCACAAACTTGTGTTAAAAGAATAAAATATACTTCCTGTATAGTCATATAAAAATAAAAACCTCATTTTTAAGGTCCTCTCGCCATAGTGACATCTGGGTTTATAGCAGCGTCTTACTGGGAAAAGCAAGGATGGCCCATCAATAAAAATCCCGTCTGCAATGTTTTTAGAATCCTATGGATATTCTTTGAGCCCATTCTTTTTGCTTTCACTGGTGCCCAAATTACCGTAAGTATACGTAATATAACTTTCCGTTTCTAAGAGACTGGTGCTTTCATTTGGCAGCCGTAATTTATACGAAAATTGTGTGCTATTACGGTAGCAAAGAAGCCCTATGTTAAACCACGCCATATTATTTACATAGACAACGCTTTTGTAACGTCATTCACTGGTGTTAGACGATAACATCGCTCTCCTATGTATTCAAAGATTTTTACTGAATTTCCTTTGTCCCTTTATGACAAAGGCTGAAGAGCAAAATGCGGGATATATAATCTAGTCCCTTGTTTTATTTCTGTATTATTACTTACATACCTTATTTTCACAAAGTTTAGTTTATGCAAAAAAAATATTCGATTTAAATTAACTGTATTTACAATACATTATTACACTTATCAAGTTTCTTAGTATTCATGAAATGTTTTGTCCTTTTCGCAGATCAAAGACCTAGACCCCGATGTAATGTGGAAAGGAACCATAGTTCTTGTGTCTTGTTTATGTCTTCGACTGGTTGCTACTTTACTGGTCAGTGTTCGATGTGGTCTAAACTTTAAGGAAAAGTTATTTATCGGTTTGGCTTGGTTGGCTAAGGCGACTGTTCAAGTAAGTTTCAAATGATAACATTTACCATTTGGATATTTTAGGTCAGAGTGTAAGTACTATTCTAAGCAAGCGTGTACAATTTTTGGCATCCAAATCTCCACTTGCAATTAAATAGGTATACAAAGACAGAACAATAAATACAGTAGAAGTGGTTAGGTAGCGTCAGACGCGGGTGTCGAAAGACCTGTGTGACTCAGTTCGCCATTTTCGCTTTGTATGGTACGGTTGTGTCATTTTTTCGTATTTTCTAAAATCCTAGAAAATAGGTATTTTTCTAGTTTTGTAGTGCAAAAATGATAGCCGCACCAAAAATATTACCCGTGGTGGTATTTCATGTCATCGGAAAGTATTTTTTTTTTTAATTTCAATTTTTTGTTTATCGAAATAATGTTTTTGATACAAGAAATGAAACTAAAGCTTATACCCCTGCAATATAGTCGTTTCTTTTTTGGAAAATTAAATTAAAAACCAATTCATCGTCGTTCAGCAATTAACCGTTAGATGGTAGTAAATTGATTGAAATTTCAGTATAATATCAAAACGTCGCAACTTACAATAATTGGTATTGATGGTATTGAACTTTCAACGGTATAATAACGCACACACTCACGCCAACAGGGTAAATTTTAAATTATATTAACAATCCAGATTTTGTTATTTCTTTTTAAATTTAAAACTTCGACCAATCAATATCAAGGTTTTGTAGTGTTTTAAATTAAGAATGTCTGTGTTTTAGCGACATCGGTTCTCATAGTAATCGAGGCCTAACGCACTTCCATTGCTTTATTCTTCCGTGTGTACAAACGTCTAACATTAAAAAAATGGTTTTATATGAGTCTGCATAGTCCTATAATAGTACCCTTGAATACTACGCGTAAGCCCAAAGGTTCTTATAGCGCAAATTTCATGAGCGATTTGCCTATAACAGTCCGCTATAAATAAAATACTGTATTTGTGTTATATATCGTTTATATATCGTTTTTGTAAACTGTGGTTATTTCATAAAACATCGACTACTAACAGTTTTCTCACTAATTTAGCAAAAACCAAAAACAAAGAGTAAAAACGCATAAAAAAATCGGAAAGTCTGCTGACTTATGCCTCAGTTGGTAGAGCGGTTGCCCTAGATTGGCAAAACAAACACAGGTTCGTTTCCTATCAGATCAAAGGAACTTTTCTTAGTGTCCGATTAGAGAGTTAAGTATCAGTGCGTAAAAGTGTTTAAACTATTATAGTTGTATGCACTTGCACTCTTTTATCGTGTTGCACTCGAAAGATGAATCAGTAATATTTCACCAACTCTACTGCTTTTTAACAAGTCTTGCAATTCATAACTCTTACGCAACTTCATTTCTCACAGGCAGCACTAGGTCCAGCAGCTTTGGATTTAATCAAAAACGGAGGCACAGCAGGCTATCCTAAGGAAGAAGAGCTACATTACGCTGAAGTATTACTGGCTGTTAGTGTACTCAGTGTTGTTATATCAGCGCCTTTGGGAGCAATTTTAATAGCACTCTCTGGACCTAAATTGTTAGCTCCAAGTAAAGAACAACGTAAGTACTAACCAAGAATAATAATATTGATTACTATGTTGTATGTAATTACTTTATACGAATACGACTATAGCTCTTAAATTTAGCTTTCATTGAGTACAACATCTCGATTTTTTTTACAACTTGTGTTCATGCTTCACGTAACAGAACCGCAGCGAGCCAATCTGGAAAAGCATTTTTTGGGCACTATGCATTAAAATTGCATAATATACGAAATGAATTACTCGACCGTTCCTCAAGCAAAAAAAATGTACATGTTGTTGCACAATTGTTAAAAAAATGACAAAATTACTTTTTTATAAAAAAAAACGACTTCAAAAGTTCGTGGAAGTACATCTATTTGCCAAGTTTTATTGAAATCGGTTACCGGAAAATGCGCGAAGGATTCATTCCCTAGTTTGCCACCCATATACATAGGTGGAATATGTTCGTCATCACCAATACATCAACAATACCAAGCCCCCTTCTAACAAAAAAAGAATCATCAAAATCGATTCACAAATGCCGTAATCGCGTAACATATACACAAAAAATATAAATACGTCGTATATAACCTAATCGAATTGAGAACCTACACTTTTTTTAAGTCGGTTAAAAATATGAAAAATAAGAAAGATTGCTTCGCTTTAGTAACTAATAGCGGGTAACGAGTATTTTTTTTTTCAAAATTAGAAAAATTTTACAAACTAGTTTTATCAACTCTGATTCGTTGATCGATATATTGGCACATCGAGTATATGACCAGAAATAGAAACGAAATAAGGCCCATCCATCCCTGGCAACTTATCAGGCAAATGGGCCTTATATCACTTTTAAATACCAACCCTCGTTTTTACTAAAAACTACAAATTAGAAAGCTGAAATAGTACAGCGCCAACAATTGACCTGTGTGTACGTATCCGTACAGTCCAAAAATATTACGTATTTATTGTAATAAAGAGTATATCTCTAACTATGGGGGCTGTTCCATTCGGTGGTGTGGGAAAAACAGCAAAACATCTAATTACAAAACAAACGGAATCACATTTCATCGATAATTAAATTTGTAATTTTTCAATTTTCGTCCTTCGTAACAAAGCTCACGTTAATCTGGTCGTTTAGAAGTGAAACAATTGACACCCGTCAATTGTTTCTAATTCGGGCTGGCCAATCGGAGCGCAGTTGTCACAATAATGATTCGGCAGAATAGTTTTCAAACAAATTAAATGACATTTCGTCTCTATTTCTGGTTATATACTCGATGCCTAATAATGAGAAACATAATTTATTATAACCGAAACTACAATCTCAATGTAACAAAAGATATTCGTATTTTTATTCGCGATAGGTTTTCTTGCAGTATTGAGTTCAAACAATTATTATATTAATATAATTTTTTACAGCATTCCAAGCGACAACTGATAATGTACGGGTTGAAAGTGGCATACCGATGCGTGATGGATCTACAATTGATGGGTTTTCAAATAATAAAACTCTATAATTTAATACATAATAATATATTATTATAAATAATACGACTTTTTTTTTTTTTATTTGGGGGTTGATGTTGCTCGCTTCCGTAGGTTTACCCTTGAGACCCTACAAGTGACCCCTGGGTGGTGCTAAAGAGCAATAACTACTGGTGGTAGGCTTCGGCCGTGGCTAGTCACCACCCTCCCGACGCAGTCGAGTCGCCAAATGGTTTTTACCGTGTTCCGACTCGTGTTCGGGAGTTGCCATTTGGAGGTCGGGTCTGAACAGTTGCATTGCGTCTGACGGCGAGTTGTAGCTGCTTGTACTGCCACACTGAGCACTCGGTTCTGGAGGCTAGCGGGATCCGAAGCACGGTGCACCGCTGGCCGACCGTGGGAAGTTGGGGGCCCAAGTAGCGGGAAAGCCACCCGTGAAAGGCTGCCCCGCCACCCAACGAAAAATCCCGGAATGCTCCACCTTGCCGGTTGGCGACCGGAAGGGAGGACCAGGTGGCCATCTCCGGGGGGGTTCGGGCGTCCCCGCGGTCTCCAAGCCGATTGTAACCTCGTGTGGCAGTATGAGTCTGCTGCTTGGTTGAACACGACGCAGTGCCTCGTTCAACTGCCTTCCTCCTGCCTATTCACTTCTCCAAATCCAAAAATGAAAAACTATAAAAATGGAAAAAAGTATACACAGCGGTTGCACGTCCTCCCACTAAAAGTGCACCTCACTAACATCCGAGGTCTGCACTCAAATCTCGATTCGGTCCACTACCACCTTGAAACCGACAAACCGCAGCTGCTGTTCCTCACAGAGACGCAGATCAGATGTCCGACTGACGCAGCGTACCTCAGCTACCCCGGGTATACTCTGGAGCACAGGTTCGTACCTCGTGCCGGAGTCTGTGTGTACGTTCGCGATGACATCTGTGTCAAGCGTCTCAAGAACCTTGAGGCACCGAGTTTTTCAATTTTGTGGCTTCTGGTTGACACAGGAGTTACACAAATAGTGTACTGCTGTGTTTACCGATCGCACAGTGGAGATCAGGAGACGACCAAGCTGTTCCAATATCTAAGTGAGACGTCTGATGAGATTCAGCATAGGTACCCAGCGGCGCAACTAGTCATTCTGGGGGACTTTAATGCACACCATCAAGAATGGTTGTTCCCATACCAGAAGACCGATCACGCTGGGAGAGAGACGCGTAAACTTGCGTTAACGCTAAGCTTATCCCAGCTTGTCAGTGGCGCCACTAGGATACCAGATGTTGAATCTCATACGGCTAATTGCTTGGACCTTCTGCTGACAACTGATCCGGACCGATACTCTGTGGTTGTGGAGGCCCCACTGGGTACTTCCGACCATTGTCTGGTGAAAACTGTATCCGTATACTCCCCACCCGATCAGGGCCCTAGTGGTATGAGACGGGTGTGGCGATACAAGTTAGCAGATTGGGACGAAATGCGCCATTTCTTTGCGTCATATCTCTGGCAGGCGTGCTTTACTTCAGGAGACTCGTCGAGCTGTGCTGATGCTGTAGTCGAGGTCTTGCGTTTGGGTATGGAGTATTACATTCCATACTCTGATGTACCCAATGGACCCCAAGCTCGTCCATGGTTTAACGCTAATTGTAGTTGTGCTGAAACACGTAAACAGTCCGCGTACCAAGCTTGGGCAGATGCTCGACTACGCAAAACTCCGAGTACTCAGAACATGAAGAAAGCTTTTAATAAGGCCGCCAAGAAGTGCAAAAGCATGTTACGTAGGGCCAAGTTCGACCATGTGCGCCGCATAGGAGCCAAGCTTGCCTCTTATCCAGCAGGCAGCAAATCCTTTTGGTCCCTGGCCAAAGCGGTCGAATCGAACTTTTGTCGCCCATCTTTGCCACCTCTGCTGAGGCCGGATGGCTCGCTGGCTCATACTGCGGAAGAGAAGGCGAATCTCTTTGCCTCACTCTTTGCAGAAAATTCGCGTCTAGATGCCGCAGGGACCCTACCACCTACTTTACCTCAGGCTGGCTGCACTATGGCGCCAGTTCGCATACGCCAAAAAGAGGTACTTAGAACTCTGCGAAATCTAGACGTGAATAAAGCTAGCGGGCCAGATGGAATTCCAGCAATAGTCCTTCGTAACTGTGCACCTGAGTTGTCTCCTGTTCTCACACGCCTGTACCGCCTCTCACTTGAGACTGGTGTAGTTCCCAGATCGTGGAAGCTTGCAAACGTGCAACCTGTACCAAAAAAGGGAAGCAGAGCTGACCCTGTCAACTATAGACCTATCTCAGTCACTTCCATACTCTGCAAGACTATGGAACGTGTACTCAACAACCGTCTCCTATCGTACCTTGAAGACAACGATCTCCTCAGTGATCGCCAGTACGGATTCCGACGAGGGCGATCTACTGGGGATCTTCTTGTGTATGCCTGTCACATATGGAGCGAGGCTATAGAAAAGCAAGGCGAAGCACTTGCAGTGTCTTTGGACATTTCTAAAGCCTTTGACAGGGTCTGGCACGCAAGCCTTTTAAGCAAGCTTCCCTCTTATGGGCTTCCCACTGACCTTTGCAATTGGATCTCGGATTTCTTGAGCGAACGTTCGATTCGAGTGGTCTTAGAAGGCTACTCTTCCGAACATATGGCGATAGATGCCGGAGTTCCTCAGGGTTCCGTACTGTCTGCAACTCTCTTTCTGCTGCATATCAATGATATGTTAATTCCAGGTACCTTTGCGTATGCTGATGACAGCACAGTTGTAGATAGGTACTTGACCAATGCAAGGGTCAGTGGAGAGGAAATCCAGTCTTGTCGAGAGTCCATGGTTAGCCGTTTAGATTTGACACTCCAGGCAGTCTCCGATTGGGGCAATGCCAATCTTGTCAAATTTAACGCTACCAAAACGCAGGCGTGTCTATTCTCCACAAAACGGAGTCCCTTTGAGCTGACTCCGACTTTTCGTGATATATCCATACCGATAGCCGATTGTCTCCAGCTACTTGGAATGGACCTGTCGTCCAATTTGAACTTCGGCAGATACATTGAATCCACGGCCAAAAATGCAGCAAGGAAGCTTGGGATCCTTTCCAGGGTGAGGCGGTACTTTACACCGGGACAGTTGCTCCAGCTGTACCAGGCACAAGTCCGATCGTGCATGGAGTACTGCTGCCACCTTTGGGATGGCTCTGCGACATATCAACTGGCCACTTTGGATTCAATTGACAACCGTGCCAAGAGACTTATAGGTGACTCGGAATTAGTGGAGGCGAAGCTGCAGAGCCTTGAACACCGCCGTAAAGTTGCCTGCTTATCGGTATTTTACAGGATATATCACGGAGAGTGTGCGATGGAATTACATGATTTAATTCCGCCTTCCCCTTTCCATCACCGGGGGACTAGGCGTAGGCTTGGGTTCCACCCCTATGTTGTGGATATTCCAAAGATTCGCACGAAGCGTTACGCTTCCACATTTATATGGCGAACGGCTATGGAGTGGAATTCCCTGCCTGCAGACTTGTTCCCTGAACGTTATAACTTGGACCTTTTCAAGGCGAGAGTGAATAGGCATTATTTAGGTG